GTTCTCAAAGAGATCGGGTAGAGAGCCAAGGGATCAGTCCGTTATGATATTCTCGAGTTTGACAAGCGATTTGTATGGGTGAGCACGTACAGAGACGACACATGTTCCTCGCCAACCACTCGCTGCTGATAATGATAATCAGAAAAAACGACCACACGATTAAGTAACTTTCAATCATACGGCGACTTCCCGCCCATAACTCGATCGATTCGTGTCATACAATAATTTAGTCTCATGATCGACGAGGAAGTGACGCAGTCATTAGAGCAGGAAGCTATTGCGCTTGTGAATCTCAGCAATCCCATAAGATTAACCTCGACGAATAATAAACTTGTCGCACCAGTGTCAGGAGACACTGCTAATCAGGCTCAAAGTGCGTCTGTGGAATTGCTGGATGGTAGCATTTCCATGAAATCATTGTTAGTGATGATTAAGAAGCGAAAGCTGGAGAATTCTGATGTTCAAGTCAAGCTAGAGGAGTCAATCGAGCCTATTTGTTCCGAATCAACTTCTGAGAGTCCAGACGACGCGAGGCTCCCGAGTTTCCGTACTATCTTTCACTCGTCACCACAAGAGACAGAAAAGTGTGTGCCTTCTTTTATTAAGTGCAAGTATCGCACAGGAAAGTGCCACAATATGCGGGCACTTAAGTCGTGTGGAGATTATCATAATTTATGCAATTACCACCGACTACGTGCTAATGCTAACCAGCGTAAACTAGACCGCAAGAAGAAAGAGCAGCGTCTACAACAACAATATCATTCAGCTACTGCACTATCTCCACCGCTAGCACTCGTGCCACAGTCTTCGTCACATGCAGCTGCCGCGGCACTAGCCTCCCTCGTTGCCGCCCGTCCGCAGTATCATTTAAATGTCTTCCAGCAACAAAGACCGATCTTTGCCGTGCAGGAGGTGAGTAAGAATAGATGCACCAGTGTGCGCCCGAAAGAGGAAGATGCGTGCAGTTACTAGACTTGACGAGCTTTGCGGCTCTAGAGTAGATCACCATTACCAGATTAATAAAGCAATAAACGACAGCGCGCTGTTCGTACAACTTATAAAAAGGTTGCTATTTGCTAGTTGTTTGTTAAGATCCTTTATAGCGAAATAAAACAAAGCATCATGTGCTTAGATCGCAAGTATCAAATAAATGCTGCGTTAAGTGTACACTACTAAGAATACCATAATGACCAAAACCGCCATTAAGAAGAGAATAAGTCCAAGTTGGCATGTGTCTATAACATATTGAAGCGAAACGTTAAGTGTAACTTAAGGCAATCAACTAAGAATCACATGTCAACCTTTCGTCTTGAGAAATTTGCTTAAGCTCCCCATGACAAAATTCATTCGTTCTTGAGCTTCATCCACATCATTTGTTAATTCGTCTAGCATCCTGCAAATCAATCAAACAAAAATTAGGAATTGGCGTTTTATGATATACGCTTGAAAAAACGTCATCGCACTTATTCTGCTGTTGAACTTCACTTGAAATCTCGACTGTGACATTATGCAAGCGCGTAATATCTGTGTGAAGTCCTTCTAAACTTTGATCTTGTTCCTGCATAACTTGCTAATTCCAAACACTCAGTGTCGATAATTATATGGCAGAAGCAAACACTGTACAAACCATACTTGTTGCCGCTGAGTTTCTTCCTTCAAAAATCGTTTATTTCTGTTATGCTCGGAGAGGTTTGACCTTAAGGACGTCGTCGATTTCTGCATCAACTGTCAAGCATTAAAATTATTAGCATCGGTGCACTTGACCATGCACCACTATGCATCGCCTAACCTTGCGTTCCTCTTGTCGAATTCGACTTTTAACCGCCTCGGCCGAGATTTCGGTCGAAACAGCTCGCAACTCCTGCACGAATCCATTCCATCACTTTGTATCAATATCTCACCAACGCCTATCAGAAAGGTCACGTACCTTTCTTGTGGCTGCCACAAAAGCTTTCCGACTTGCGATTTCTGCTGCGTCAATGTGCTCAAACTTCGCTCGATTCGCCTCCACCATAACGATAGTCTCCTCTAAAAACTTGACTGACTTTTCTGCAGTTGTCACAGCTCCCTCGATCTCTACTCGATAATACTTTTCTCTTATCATCAAAACGCAAAATTGCAAGACTATAGCACGCACGATGTGTTAATGCCGGCAGATTCTTAGTGGCCGGCGAGTCCGTGGCTTCTAGTATAGTCCGCCACTGAGCATATTTCTGACGTACGGCCAACACCTTGTTCTCTAATTCACTAAGTGGTCACATCAGTCACTACGCATTCGGTCACATCAGTCACTACGCATTCGAGACGGTTGATGATTTATACGTCTCAAATGGTAGCGTTACGCACTCTCTAAAAACGTAAAACGGGTCGCCGCTGGCCGCCGCCAGAGAAGGCATCTTCTTCATCAGTGCTAAGGCAATGGGTATCCACGTCGCTTGAAAGACATTATTTCGTACTTAGTTGAGATGTCAAATTTATGGCAATCTGATAAAAATCCTTAAGAAAATTTCTACATTTTGCTCTATTCAAAAAGGAAGATCGACGCGACAGTAGATACAAGTTTGATTACGACTGATGCTGAACACTACTTCGTGCCAACACATCGTCTTGTCCCTGATTAAAATGCGAATAGCGTGTGGTTCATAATTACAAAAGTTAGAGCTTGGTGGTATAAGTAATACTTTTGTATTCTTTAATTTAAGCAAAACGGAGCAAACACAAAAAGCTTGTGAATTTGTGTAATCCTCGAGCAGACGAAAGCTACACCAAAGCTAAGGGGATTACGCTCTAGGCGGAAATTCAGCAGCAATTAGCGTTAAGGGTTAACTCATTTCGGCGAGAAGGCCTTCCAACCACCATTGCAAAATGTTTAGAGGTCGCTGTAAACAATGATTTTACATCAATTTGAGTTTGGTAACTCAGAGTCATAGGCGCGAGAAGTTCTTCAGCGAGATCGTATCACAGTCCAAGTTCAGCCAAAGTCGGATAGACAGAACTGACGTGGCTTATGGAGATACAACTTTGACACGACGAAGCATAGCATATGCGAGACTCCACATAGATGTGTTGTATATTCGAGTTACTATCAAAATGTTGTGCGTTGTAGTAGCCTATGCTGTAAGTGCTTATAATATGTGATATTCCATACACCATACACATTTTTACTAGGTACGATATTGTAGAATTTTTCAAAATTCAAACTGCACTTGGATTATCCATAAGAACAAACGTAAGCTAAAAACAGTTCTATTATAAGATGTAACTTACTCGTACCGGACTCAATACGATTAATGTTATATATGTTTCTCCCACAAGAAAAGAGAAGGTTTTGCATCCAGGAAGAGCGTACGAACCCGATGTAGCTGTCTCTATTAGCGCAGATTCTGAGAGTCGAAGCTTTCTCTATGCATAGAGCACGGCATCCCCAATGTATTATGTAGCCCTGCTTGTCAATCCGAAAAGCACTTTATCTTATCCAAAGATGGAAATAAACACCGAGAGATCCTGCCTTGGAAGCTTGAATATGCGATGATGAGGAACGTCCACGAGCGTCTCAACCGGGTGCCGACGGAGTGTAACGGGGTTACACGGACCCTGGTAACATAATTGTGTGTCACACGAGATGGGCACGGTGTGATTGCAACCAAATAAGAATACGATACGTGGCTGAATATGCATGATTTAGATTTTACTATATATATTTTTAAAAATTCACACATTGAAAATTAGGCGGCTTTGCCGCAGATAAAACAAAATAATACAGTTTACATTTTAAACAGATGATTTTATTAGCCTTGAGTTAAGGTTCTAACTACTCTTGGAGGTAGCGGATTGCGATCCGCTACACTCCTACTGGTTCTTGTGAAGAACATAAGGTCGGTGATTTAAATTTAGTTTCCTCTAAGCGCAAAGCTACGGCGGCCCTGCTGCACGATGGGCAATCGACAACCACCGTGTTCATCGTGGCTACCGTAGCTTTGCGCTTTGAAGAAGCGTAAGTTAGGTCACCGACCTCTCGTTCTATACTCAGAACAAGTAAGAGTTTGGCGGGTCGCAATCCGCTTAGTCCAAAAGTTATTATAGTCTTAACCCAAGGCTAATTAACTCTTCGGTTTAAATTCAAAACAGACTTTATTTATTTTTTATCTGCGGCAACGCCGCCTAATTTTAAATGCATAGATTTTTCTAAATATGTATAGTAACATCTAAATACATGTATAACTACTGGCTATACAGCCCCGTACCGTATTCTTGTTTGAGTGTGATCACACCATGCCCATCTGGTGTGACATACACCCCTGTTACCAGGGTATGTGTAACCCTGTTTCACTGTGAGGGCGCCAATGTTGAGCCTCTATGCCTAGGAATACTGGACCGAGGAAAAATGCTTTATCGGACCGAAGGAAATAGACATGGCTATGAATTCGGACCTGCCTTAAACAAAACAATAGCGCGTCTTAGAGGCCGTGCGTAAGAAAAGCCACTAATGCTAGATACCATTGCGGAAGTGGCGTTGTAGACGTTGAAAGATTCAAAGTGACATACGTTGTGGGTATTTGTAGTGGCTGGTTCGGATTATCAGCTGCGATCAACTTCCTGATCACTTGTCAAGAGAAGCGAGGATGGCATATTATGTCCAGAAGTTAAGAACTCTCGTCCCTTTGATGGCGTCGAGCCCTCACCAGTAGGTGGAAATGGTTATCATTTTGACGGAGGGTCTTCGAATGGGTGTGGCTCGCATCGGGACCGTACGCGTCCACTATTACAATTTTGAGGAAGCGATTGGTGTCGTATTAAATAAAAATTACAACTTTCATACTTCGAGGGTCGTGTGAGGGTTTGAAGGCGAAGCTCTTCAATTGTGCTTCATGCAACCGACCTCAGCCGTGCTTTGGGCTATGAAAGAAGTGGGAGAGTTTTACGATGCTGAGCTTCTTCACGGTATTCTCAGATATGTCATTCGTGAGAGCATGAAACATTTACGCCTTGTGTGCTCCCTCGTTCTTGGCTGAGAGCTACGATGATCGGTCTCCCACGTGAGAGCACACAAAGAACCTCTCAAAGAAAGTATCTAGTAATAGCAAATTTGGAACACAATCATTTTTCTTTTTCGGACTTCGTAAAATTGTGGTCAATGAGACACAACCGTAAGTAAACGACTCTCGTTAAAAGCCGTGAATCCTGCAGCCCAGGTTTGTCGCATATCGATATCGACGTTTACGAGGCCGTGTACAGTCCAAATAAACTCAGGAATGTAGCGTAATTGCTTATGACGTACGACTGTCAAAACAGTAGATATTGCGTGGGGGCATTGAAATGCTAAATGTAGATGTGACATCGGTGCGTCGCGCAACTGGGACACTATTTATGATGCTATAAACTAGACTGAAGATCAAGTGAAATTTGACGACTTTGATAGTGTTAGATGTTGTCTCATTCTGCACCAAGATTAAATACAATTTTATCGTAGATATGGCCTGGCCGGAAAGCCTTGAGTCATAAATTGACTGGAAGTCGGAAAAGATAAACACCAAATACTTCTCTCTTAGCGGAGCTTTGAAAAGTCATAAATTCAGATCTCGCTTTCGCGCAGGATGTGTTGTTGCCCGAGATTGGTAATGATGGTGTTACTAGGTGTCTCTTGTTGAGCTCGAAAGGCAAAAGCGGCAATCAACCGAGGTCTGAGAATAAGAGTGAAAATAACTTTTGTACATCGCGGTCTCCAGAGTGGGAAGAGAAATGAGAACTGTAGGTCGTCGTCCCCGAAGTGAATCTCTAGAGGGGTAAGAATCATGTGAGTTGTTTTCTCTGTTTCAGGGCCGGTGTGACGCGAAAGCCACTAGGAGTTTAAAATTCTTGTGTCGGAGCGGGTGGAGCTGAACAGCAATGCAAGTTGCAATAAGGAGGCCTGGTTCATGGAGATAGGAAATATGAGTTCATCGTTGCTACGATGCGAAAGTACTACCGAGTCAGCTATCGTGTGGCGGGTCCACCACGTGGAGCGGTAAGTCTCTACGGGAAATGGCAAAAATAGTTTAATGATGATTGAAGTGATCGAGGTAGTCCTAGGAACTTCGGAAGAAGATCGTACAGAGCTGGGGGAAGTATCCTTAGACGATTCATACAGCTTAACGCAATCCATGAGGTCAACGAAATGGTAATTTGTCACTGGGGACACGCACAGAGCACTGGGTTGGAAGAATGTTAAAGTTTAATCAATAATCCGACAGATCCGTTCTATCGTTTGTTGGGGGAATATCACGAGAGATCCACAACGCGTGTTTGCCCCGGCTAAAGTAGCTCGTCAAAAAATTGACTTGGTTTTCGGGACTAAATGCTGTATCAGGCGGCAATGATTCCTACCATGGAAAAAGTATGACTTCGTTGACGCTTTCTTCCGTCCAAAGCACAAACAGGGCTTAGTTAGATAGAAAATCTCCAGACTCGGCACCGACTTTCTGTGACATAAAGGATAACGGCAGTTGGCAATAGATGCATGATTATGATAAGATGTTTGACGCCACTATTTCGGAACAAAAGCCACTTTTTTTAGGAAAGGATGTGCTGCAGAACAGCATGGCCGGCTGTACTTCGTCCAGACTTATTAATCTGGTGTTTGATCTTACAAACTGCTCATGAGAAACGGCGATGCCATCTCATCGCGGTAAGAACTCCTAGCGGGATGCTTTGAGAGCGGTTGGTTATGAAAAAAGGATTGTCCGACGCATCAGCAACGTTTTTTTTCGTTTATTTTGAGTGGCTTTAGAGGCCCGACTGTGGCTATACACACACCTATTTTTCGGCAATTGCCTACAGACGTATGTGAAGAGCAACGTTGAACGCGTGCGAGCAGTATTCGAGTGTGCGCGCCGAAATTAGTTATTCGTTAATGTAGACGCGTGTGTCTATGACTCCGACAAATATTCTCTTTCGCATTTGCATTGTGAAGTGGGGCCTGCCAGCACATCTCGTAATGATTAAGGACATTGTAGTGGTTATGAAATGTTTTTTTTCTGTCCCTTGTCGACGAAAGGGTTGGGCCTAAGGGTAGAGCTTGTGGTGGCCTGCGTCTGAACCTTTCGAGGATTGGATGCGGCCTTTTTTGCCATATAAGAGCTTCCTTTATCCTCGTAACTTAAAAAAAGGAAAATGAATGATCACAGATCAGATCATAAATTCGGTTTCTTCGTTACGGCCATAAGTACATCAATTTTGAGCCAGGCTATTGACAAGATTAGGAGTAAAGTAAGTTGCATGATGAGATTGCCTTTTACAAATCACAAGAGCATATATTGCTTATTAGGTCTCGAAGCTGTCCACAATTTACTTTCGAGGGTTTATGGAGCCAAAGATTCGCTTTTTTGGAGCATGAACAAATGTTGGTCCCCACGCTTTTGATGAGTTCTTACCATCCTTCATCTTTGCAAGTATAGCAGACACTGTATCCGAGGACAAATGCGAGTATTTGCCTCGAGCATCTCTACTCTTACCCGAAACAACATAATAGTCAGATAGCTTTTCACACAAACACACTCAGAATCGTACCGCTGTTGTGGGTCTAAAAATTCTTCAACGCCCCCCGAAAGAAAGAGTTCGATGAGATGTAAGACCGGAATGAAGCAATCTTGTAGCTGAGCAATGGGGACGGACCCAATATAATCAAGCAGTACGTCTAAATTCCTTTTAAAATTGGCGATCGCTTCCATGTTCAGCTTCTTGATGGCTGAACCACTTAGAATCTGCTCCAAAGACTTGGCAAGGTAACTGCACGAAGCAAAGTGGACAGCTTCTTGAACTGCTTGTGGGAGCTGATGCAGTTGAGCAAACGTGACTTTCAGGTAGTTGATGAGGTCCCACATAGAAGGATCTGGCTGCGTTAACACAGCACTCGGCATCCAATTAAGGTAGTAGAAACTAGAAAGCAGCTCATCAATCTTTTTCAGCTAAAAAGCATACACCAGATATTTATCAGGTGAGGCTTAAGTTACATGACTTCACTAGTAAGACGTACCATGAGCTCACAAACCATATCCTGAGCTCTTGTAGTTGTGCTCGTAAATTTCTTTTTTGCTGCTGCCTTGCTTAACTGTAGGCGGCTTGAGCAAGGCTTCACCAATTGTGTCGTTGCTCCGCGAAGCGTATTACTCACACTGTAGCCGTACGTCCGGGCCTCCCACGCTTCCGTCTGCATCTTCACATTTTCCTCAAACCGATCACAGGCGCAAGCCAAGAACGACGCATTCGTGCCCATCATTACAACCTTCACACATAGCAGCATCAAAAGCTTAACTTTACACAATAGCATAATAAGAATTGATTCTCGAAGCCAGACCGTTGCGACTTGTAGATCTGTGTGTTGATCGATAACTTCGTTTAGCGTTTCATTTAGGTAACTCAGTGCCTCGATTGTGTCATCTCGGACCCACTCGCCCCAGTCTTCGATGTTAAGATAGCTGAAACATACGTTAAATCAAAGATTAATACCACTATGAACAGAAGTGACACACATTGTACCGTTCATAATCGAACATCATCTGAATAAGAGCTTCAATACTCTTGCAGCTCTTTACGACAACCTGCGAGCCCCAAATTTTAATCGTATGACGTTTACCCTCAATGATTTTTCAAATAGATCAGACACTCGTACACTTGTGAAAGGTAGCACAACAGGGTCTGCTCCAACATCGACATTCTTCAGCATTGTTTTGACTTCATTTTCCAGTCCACAACATTGCAAGGTCTAAAACGCAATCGAAACGTCGTCAACTAGCATCGTCACAATCAGTGATAGCCTTTCCACACCATTTGAAGCTGATCGGAAGAGACTTGAGCACGCTCGAAGGTATCACTAGCCATAAATTCGCGCAGCCTCCTACGCGACACATCACCACAAGCGTGTTACACTTTAGGCGTTGACAAGTCATAGGGTCTGTCGAATATCGCATACTTCTTTGTGTTCGCCATGATCACGTTTCGGAAGTGCGAGCCTAAGCGCCGAAAAGTGTCGAATATCAACGTGGAATTGTATTCATGCACTTCATCACTCAGCGTTCGAGCGCATGCAATAGCCCGCACTTTGATGTTCAGAATCGTAGCTTGCTCATTAAGGCTTAAAACGGAAGTCGACACTATTCCACACAAACTCTGGATGACTAGGTGAAAGATTCCGTTGATGTCTTTCTTTGACAGCAACGCTGCGTCCGAGTATCGCCACAGCAGATGCTCAAGACAAAACGATCCTGTCAACTTCTTGAAAAGCTCTTCGTGTTGAGTGACGAATTTTTCAGGGCTAACTGTTGTAACTGTACCTCTCAAAAATGACGTCAATTGAAGTTGGGGCTACAACAAACACCTTAAATAATCCGTAAGAAAAAAAATGTGATGTTATCGACATACCAAGCGATTGACATTGTAAAACGCAGCTAGCTCTGAAAGTTGATTTGTAACTCGAAAAACGTGTAATATTCGTAACATTGGCGAAAGCTGAGTCAGAGCAAGTTTCATGTAATTTGCGTGAATGTTGCTCCTTTCTTTCAGAGTATTAGCACCAGAATTAAAGACTCGGATGGACGGCAGCTTCAATCCATCCTCGCCCAGTAGCAATTTGTCCGAGTTTGATGGACTTAATGAAGCTCGAGGACTTACAGCAAAGTTGCCACTGCTACTTGCCCTGCCAAGTACAGTCGTGGGTGCATGGCCACACTTTTCTAAGACATCCTGTTCATAATACTGCTCGCTAATCTGATTTTCCAGTCGATGCATTGCTGCTTCCCCAATCGACTATAGTGTATGACACAATAAAGCCTCACCTTTGGACTTAAGAAATGCGTTTTTTGTCTTACCAACGACGCCGTTCGAATATCCTCCAACCAATGTGAAGCCTCTCGCTTAGCTTCATCTTTAATTGTTCGCATTGCATCATGCATCCAGTCGTTCATGTATTGTGGAAACAGCCGGCCCTAGGAAATAAATGGCAGAATATATCGATCAACATGTAGTGTATCAACTAGCATCAAGTTTGTACTCGAAACGCCGCGATTTCGATGCGAAGTTTTTCGAGCATCGTGAATGCGTGAAATAATTTGTTTTTCTCAATGTAAGCTGTAATGGCTGCGGCAAGAGCCAACTAGAGTGAAAATGAACATCAAATTCAAAAACGTGTTTAACTCATTATATCCTTTTACTTACAATGCGTTGACAGTGCTGTAATTTTTCAATGGATTCGTCAATATTCTTCTGCACTGTGTAGCAAGTCGCCAGAGAGTCATGAACAGATAGAATTTTTGATGTGGCGCCAGCTAACTGGCTTTGAAATTCGTCAATATCAAGCTACTTCCAAGTCATTTGTAATAAGGAAATTACATACGCTTTGACTCCCTACTAGCAACAATATACGTTGTCTACCTGTAATTTCGAGACATCAGCCTTCATGCGCACAATCTCTTCGATTGAAACCACAAAATCTTGATAGTTTGAGCTGCATACATCGCGGATCTCATCTTCTTTTGCTTTAGCATAATTTTGCAGACTTGCTGCAGAAGTAAAATCGAACTACCGATAGTAACAGAAGTAACAAATGTTTTGACAGTGAACCTGTAAACTTGTTGCCCCACTGTTTTTCAATAGCCAACTGGATACCAGGTGCTAGCCTCGCTCGAGATTGTGCAATGCTCTCAGCGAGTAGAACCCATTCCGGCTTACTTTGCCATGCGGAAGACGCAGCTTTCACGGAGCTTTCCATGTACAGTGCAACGCGACTCGTAAAGATCGTATGAATATAATCAAATCATGTACACAAAAAATGGGAGCCAGAAGACTTTTTATCATTTTTGAGATAAAATGATGTCATGAAAGTTTGAAAGGTATGAATTACGTGGTGAATTGCTGGGCTGTGAGTCCCCGGCTCTGATCTGCAGAATGTGTGTATTTGGGTCATACGCCCAAAATTGCCACGCTATGTACCGTATGCCCTATTTCTCAATATACCGGTTTGGTATATAGTATCTGCATACGTTTTTGAGCCTGATTTTATTTATATAATTTTATGGCATATGAGTTTTATTTAGTTACGTTATGATCAGAATACAATACTCGTTAGCATGTGAAGCTGGACCATGAACTAAATTTCTGTGCAATTGTACATTAACTAATCTTCAGAGTGATCGTTCTCGCATCCTCTGCAAGTCATAAGCTTGACTTATGAGGCACCACAGCGACCCGTTGCACATGGTAACACTATTACGTCAATCCGACGACAGAGTCTTAAGAATACTATACCTCATCCTAGGAATGGCATGGTTGGAACACCATGAGCTATGAATTGATTGGAGGTCAAAGACTTTGGGCAATACGCGCACGACTCCTGATCAAGCTTTAACGAGTCATGAACCCACCTCTGCTAGGCGACAAAAGCGCTATTGGCGAGAGCACTGGACCGAGACGGTCAACGTGCTAGACATTGG